TCAGACGCGCCCAGCCCTGCCCGTGCGGGAACGCTCGCGCCGGCGGGGCGCCTCAGCCCCGCTCCTGCTGTCGGGCGGGGAGGGGGCACTTCTCCCGCGCCTCAGGGCCGCCTAGCTGTAGCCGAGTGGGGGTCAGGCAGCGCGACGCCTCAGCAGCGCTCGAGCGCAGCGCGGGCAGCGCCCTACCAATGGGTTCGGCCCCAGGCTATCCTCCCCTCCCCCCGCGAGCGCGCCCCATGCTGGGAGGGGCAGGTGCGCTCTCTGCGAATCTTCTACCAGGCACCAAGCAGTGGCTGCGTGGCGTGGTGGGCTTCTTCTGGGAAAAGGGAATAAGGATGCACCTGTCCCCTCCTCCCAAGATCTCTCATCTCTTTCCAGCCAGAACGTTTGTCATGCTAACACAGGCGTCAGCATTTTTTCAGTACGGTCAAGATCCACAGTGCAGTGGTACCCATTGTCCCTCTTGTGCCCTGGGTTCCAGGTTTGAGAGTAATATTTTCCAATAGCTGATTATACTCTCAATTAAAATACTATTCTAGTACTTCCTTACATGAGCAGGGTTAAGGTACAAGGGTTATGCATAGAAGCTTTTATATAGAGACTAATCAGGGAACAAGCAACTTGATTCAATAAATCTCTGGATTGACAAATGTAGTCACATGTTGTTAACTCCTGAAACCCCAGAACAGATGTTGCATTCTTTGAAAACACTTGAAGAGATAATGATCAGCAAATTCCACATACATGTAAACAAGTATCTTCCATTTTATGATGTGATGTACTTGTGTCGTCCTTGGAATAAAATAATAAGAGCTTCCTTTAGTTGCAATAAGATTTTAATATTGAAGAAAATGCAGAGGAGTTTAGTTAGTGGTAAACACCACACGAATGATATTTTACACAATGGAGCAAAATCGGTTGGCAATTACTATTGCCAACATGTATGCGGCAGTTATTCTACAACTGGAAAGTTGCTGAAGTCTGTGACATTCCACTGTAAATATAGGTGTTATTAAAAATTACAAATTGTCCTGTAATTATTTTGACAATCTCCTGGGCAGCAGCACCTAAAGGGGAGGGAAAAGATTTATGTTGGTGGGTAATTTTTTTTTTTTTTAAGACCAGTGCCTGAATCAGTCCAGATATGAGTATCGCAAAACTCAAGTGATGGAAAATTTAACTAGTAATTTGCTTTCTACAATTTTTATTTCTGTAATTGTTGAACGAGCTCTTAAATTTTATTAACTTTTTATACCTCTATAAAATGACTGTGTTCCCATTTTCTTTGCAATTATAAACTCTTAGGAACCTAGATCTTGTCTTCATACATTTTTCTAAAGTACACCGATGGCAATATAATTTCCTTTAACCTTTAAAAAATGTAGTTTGTTTATATAATATGAATACTTTATTATCTGATACTGTAAGTAAGAATACAAGCAGCAAAAACAATTAAGATTTCAATATATACTTTTTTAAATGATTTACATCTTGGGTATAACATTTATTGCAGGGTGAAATAAGGCAAAAATTGCAAGCCACATTGATAAGTGTTAGTTAGGTATGGATTTACAGTTTGCAAAAGTTAGCAATGTTTACACTTAAATTAGTACTATATTAAAATTAGTCATATTGTGCTATTGTTTGTCAATGCTTCAGACTTTTACTTTCACTAGTCATATATCCATGTTTTAAATCTTATTTTAAATTAGACTAATGAAACCAAGTAGTATATAACTGGCCTAATCAGATCATGGTTTCTTTCATTTCAATCTGATCACTTTCTCAGCCAACTTTTTCCATACAGCATGATGGCAGACTTTCAATGTTAAAATGTTACAGTACTAATGCAGTCTTTATCTACAGTTCATAGTTATTCGCTTTGCTCCAAATATAGTGAAGAGGAATTCTATTCAAACTACAAAAATGATTTCAAAAACAGCTGTGTTGACAGTTCTTAACTGACCTGTGAAAATAAAGCAATATTCTTACCTCCCAAAAATGAAGCAATAGTATGTGGCTCAGCTGCTCCATAGCGACAACTAGATAGGGAGAAAAAAAAAAAAAAAACACACTTTTAGAGAAGTTTAAAAATAAGCTAGGGAAAGTGACATCTTTTCCTACAATACTTACAATTCATGGACATAATCATCCTTCACTGTTACAGACAGTCCATATTCCTGAAGAAAACCACTGAGGCAAGATTTCAATTTTCCAATATCATCTTCCACTTGGTAGTTATACACACCTAGGACATAAAATAGGAGCCATTTCTCCTCACTTTGGTATACCAGAGTTAATGGGGCCAGAAATGCTTTTACAAATTGTGCTGTTTGTTATTGCAGTCATTAACATTTGTATTCAAGTAACATTCATATTTAATTACAACTCTAATAATACTAACAATCAAATACCACTAGTATTAGCAGAAAGCTAAATCATATGATTTACTATAATTTTTACAATTAAAATAATTATCAAACAATATTAATTTGTTCATCTTAAGAATCTGGTCACTTTGTAATATCTGTACAATGCATGTACTTTAAGCTGAAATATTTCTTAATTGTGTTTTGTAGTTTCATATGTATCATAAATTAGACTGTTCTATTTCCTAGGGTGACTGATATATATTTAAAAGTTATTGTATCAACCTACCTGGGTATCTACCATGCTGTTTATAAAATCTATCCACAGTCCGTAGCATTAAGTATAGCACTATCTCATTGTCTGGATTATCCATGCTGGAAACTGAAAATGATAAAAAAAAACCACGCCCTCAAAATACACATTTTAAATTGGTTTAAAACTAGAGTTGGAGATAGATGGAATGATAAAAATATTTCACATTTGCTTGACTGTCAAACATTTTTACAGTTTTGCCACTGCACCCCCATGGAAGACAACTGATAGATCTCCCTGATCCGCACCCTGAACTGATACATCAAGCATTAGTGATGGATTGTTTAGACATGGAAACTCCAATGATTAGTGACAAAGTATACTAAATATGATGTACCCATATATTTTAGTATAATCTCCACAATTTGAAGCTATCCATATGTTCCTCCTTAAATTCCACCAATGCCAACAATTGCTTGGATGAGATATTCACCTCACAATTTAAGTCAGAATTTGAATTTCATAATTATGCAGCAGAAATTTATTTTTATAATTTTGATGGATAGCAGTCTATTTAAACATTTGTAATATTTTTAAGTTAAATATTCACAGTTTCAGGAAATTATGGGGAGGAGGTCGGGCAATTATTTTAATGACAGTAGACATCGAGACTCAAAACTTTATAAAGCTTTATCATTAAAACACAAATTGTCAACATCACATCAAAACACAAGAAGTAATTACCTTAAATTTAAACTCTTAATTCTCAAGATTTTTCTTAATCTGCTTATCTGTAAATTTTTGTTTTTAAAATTGATTAAACTATATTTTTAATGTTTTTTGTTGGTGAAATCAATGTTTACCAATACAAATCTAACTCTTCCTAGATTATTTATAATGCATATTTACCGAAGAAAAACTAAGGACAATAATTAAATAATAAATTGAAGTCTCCTTATGACTTGTATGTATTTTGTGTGCCTTTTAAATGTAAAATTAAATAAGTTCCCATATTATACTACATAATATGAACCAGTTCAATGAAATTTTTACTTATGTATTTTGTGAATGTTACAAATAAAACAATTTTTAGGCAAAAATATTATGACAAGATTGAAAAGACACTTAAGTTTTTCTAAACGAGTTCTGTTTCCATTTTAGTATTTACCTTGGAATTTGGACTTACCTAAGTTTGAAAACTCTGTTGCAGGTATATGCCTAATTTTTATTAAATTGTACTTTGCCATATAATTTATTCACAAAATACAATAATCTTTTTAGCTCCTGTCACAAATAACTTAAAACAAGTCGGAGAAAATATAAAGACTAATACACACTGATGAGGATAAATATTTTACTTGGCTGCTAAAGAGAAAACAGTATCTGCCAGGGGGAAGCTATCATAAACACTAATTCAGTTGCTCATCTTTGAGCTTTTGTCTATTTAAAAAAAATTGCTTTGAAATATATATAAGTATGAAATACTTTTGAAATATATATAAATATAAGTATGGCTTTGTGATAAAATAAAGAGGTTAAAAATATCAATAAGTAAAAAATAAAGTCCTTACTAATTTCATCCTTGTTAAAGGTATTTAGACCATACTCTTCAGACAGGGATCTACATCGTACAACTCGAAGAAATGCTGAGTTGCTGCCTAAGCAAAGAACACAGAACATAAATATTAGAGCAGTGATTGCCAGGGTGTAATATTTTGTCAGATATTTCAGAACTGGAATGCAAAATAAATCTCTCTCAATGATGTCATTTTAAGTTTTATTTGATTTCTTCACATTTGATAAGTGTTTTTTCTTTAGAGGTCTGTAAAGGTAAACAATTTTATTAAAATGTCTTATATTTGTGCACTTCAAAACTCCAGTCATTTTGCCTATAGAGCTGAAACAAGAACTTTTGGTACATATGGCATCAGACTCTAGAAAAGAAGATGTCCCACCCTGCTCCTCTTACAGACATCTGTTGGACTACAGGCATCAGCCCCACATTTTCTTCCTCTATCCTCCCAAAAGCTGTTTTATTTTCTTTCCTTCTCTTCCCTAACTAAATAGCGCTGCTCCCTTCAGTGCTGCCTACCCTCTTTGGAAACAGGCAGTCTATAGAGAGCAGCATTCTAAAAATCAATGGCTGGGGATGACCAAGAATGAATCTGCAGCAATGGTAAATAGCAGAAAGGGGAAGAAAAACTAGACAAATATGGAAGAATGTAGGGAAGGGGAGGGGGACCCCAAAACAAAACCAAAAACTCTACATACATGTTCTACACTATACTACGTAAAGTTCAGGTTGAACCTCCCTGGTCTGAGAACCCTCGAGACCAGACCAGGTGACATCAGCTGCTAGGTGCCCCGCTACCAGACTCCTCTCCCTAGGGCTCCCTGTTCTGCCACTAGCCCTGCTAAAGTTGGCTCACAAAAGCTCCCAACCTTGCTGCCCCAGGGTCTTGGCTGCTGCTGTCACAGAGTGTTCTCCAGGGTTCCTCCCACAGTTGCTAGGGCCGCCCTGTTGCAACTGGGGATTCTGGCCACCTGCCTCCACCAGTCTTCCTTCAGCTGTGGGTTCCCCAGCAGAGGATGCCCAGTCATCGCAGCCCTGCTGCCACTGGGGGTTTCTTAGGATTCCTGGCTAAGGCCGAGACTCCCCAGCCATGGGGTCCCACTAATGCCAGGGATTCCCCAGCCTGAGTGGGAGCTCCGGGGCTGCTGCCTGGTCCCGCTGACACCGGGGGTTCCCTGGCTGGTGCTGGGGCTCCCCGACTGCCGCCTGGCCCCATTGATGCTGGAGGTTCCAGGCCAGGTTAGGGGCTTCCCAGATGCTGCCTGGGCTCAGCTGTGGCTTCCCAGCCCCTGCGTTGCTCTGAGGCTCTTTGGTCCAGCAACATCCCTGGCCCTGCCAGACCACAGATGTTGCCAGACCATAGAGTCCTGGATTTGGAAGGTTCAACCTGTACAATAATACTCAATTGTTTCAGATGGCTCCTGTTTTTCTTAGCATATGCTCTAATATGTATTAATATAAAAGCATAAAACAAAATAAAAGCCCAAATGATCAGCAGCTTCAGTCAGAATCATTGGCAATTAATTTGTGTGGGCATACACCACTCAGGTACCTGCTTATAACTTTCCATGTGCCTTATTCTGACAGGTGCTAAGCACCTGAAACTTCCACTGAAATCGGAGATAACTGTGTCTGTTACTTGGCAGGAAGAAGCACTACATTTGTAATACAAAAGAGATTCCAATAGTGAGCTAGAGATTAATATTACATTATGAAAGATTTGAAAACTTCCTGACAATTTGCGTGCACATAAAACAAGAACGATGTAATGCAAAATGCAAAGATACTTACAAAGCAATTTTAATTCTGTCTGTGAAATTGACTCTGGTGCCTGCAAAGGAATAAGATGACATTTGTTTCTGCACAAGCCAATGGTTAAAAGATTTATATTTTCAAAATTATTCTGAATTGGTCACATCTTGATCTAACAATCAAGAAAGAAGTATTTTGTGTTCATATGTCCTTTTCACTTAACATTCTAAATAACTCAGGAAAGTACAGGTTGGACCTCTCTGGTCTGGCTCCCTTGGGACCTGACCAGTCCTGAATGAGGGAATTTGCTGGACCAGGGGGAAGCCCTCAGCCCACCGATCCTCCCCGCAGCTGGCCGCAGCTACCCCCACCACCAGGCTGCTATGACCCACCTCTCTTACCAGAGTGCCATGCTGCCATGGCCCGGGTCCCAGCCCCAGTGTGCTCCCAGCCTAGCAGGGTTCCCAGCTGCCAGACCTCTTGCCACTGGGCTCCCAGCCAGAACTCCCTGGTCCAGGAACATCTGTGGTCCTACTGGGACATGGATGTTGCTAGACCAAAGAGTCCCGGTTTTGGGAGGTCCAACCTGTACAAACAATGTAGAAATAACATCTTGTGTGTATAAGGAAATATCCAAAATTTAGTAAGACTCTCTAAGAGAATGTGATAGTTAAGTTAGCTCTTTACTGTCTCTATTTTGCTCCTTTCCCCTTTTTTCTTTAGACTATATGGAAATTTTTTGTCCTTTTGGAATAAATTAAATGAGGTTACCTTGCCTATCGACTGTAACAAGTTAACAGCATGGTTGCCCACAGCAGCAGCATCTTTCTTTGCTCTTTCACGGTATCTGTAAAGGGTAAGAAATAGTTTAAACGGTAGTTAAAAGCTACAATTTTATTTTAAGAGTCTGACATTGAACATTTTTCTAATCCTTCTTACCCTGTTGTAAACATTAATAAAATCAAAGATCAGCTACTTCAGCATCAGAAGAGCCAATGATACCAATCATATGACTATTTTGCTATGGCTCTAAGATATCTGTAAAAGCCGCTTCACAGCTTTGTGCTCTGGAATGTCCTTGCTGTTAGTAAGCATTAAAAGGAGTATTACTGTGGAAGGCTACAGTGTAAAAAATATATATTAATTCCATGCAATAATGAGAGGACCAGCACCAAAGACAGTTCCCTTTTTTCTTCCATTCAATCTCGTCTGAAGAAGTGGCTTTTTGCCCACAAAATCTCATGATACTATATGTATTTTTGTTAGTCCCTGAAGTGCCATAGGACTACTCGTTGTTTTTAAAGTTACAGACTAACACAGCTACCCCTCGGAGATATAAAACAATGTGTCAGTTGTAACTATAACAATTCTTTCGACAGCAACCCAATCACTTCAGCAGCAGGGAACTCTGTGAAGTCTCACACTTCATCTCCACTTACCAAGGGATCAACACTCTGACAATTGGTCTTCCAGGATTTGATTTTAGCAGGTCTAGTGAAGACCTGGTAAATGGAACAATGAGGGCACCCCTGTCAACCACGGTATTCGCAGTCACAAAGAGTAAGGGAAGTCAACGGGAGAGTTTCTCCTGTTGGCCTCCTGCTGGAGGGCTGCCTAATAACAGATGTAAGGTACATTGATTCCAGTTTGTAAGATATGCAATTGCGTATCTTACATCGATTTTCCCTGCCAATACAGAACTGGCCTTAAACAACAAGAAAACCCAGGAAGACCCATCCTATGTAACCACAGCACTTTAACGGAAGGTATATCAGGACGCATAGAAACCATCCTCAAACCATGCACCTCACAAAGGGACAGCTTCCTCCAAGACACAACTGACTACCTCAAGAAATTCCACAAAATCAACAACCTTTCCCAGAACACAGTCTTTGCCATTATGGATTTCAATGCCTTATACACCAATATTCCTCACCATGACAGCATACTGCTTGCTTCAAACACCTACAAGATAATGAACAAAGCCTGAAAATCTCACCCAAACACACTAAACTGACCCATTTCACCTTCACACACAAAATTCACTTTTAATAAATACTTTGCCCAAACAGGAACTGTTGTGGGAACTAGGATGGCTCCCTAATATACCAACCTTTTCATGGGCTACTTCAAGAAGAATTTTTGTACAAATGTACCCTGAAACCAATCATATTGGAGATACTCTGATATTTTTGTCCTCTGGAGAGACTTCCTCACAGATTTCCATCACAGTTCAATCACCAAACTCTCTAGAAAACTACTGCCAGACTAGTGTCAACTTCCTAGATACCAAGATCAGCTTCAACAATGGAACCTTACAACTAACCATACACAAAAATGCTAGACCTCTACGCTTTCCATAGAACCAGCAACCACCCAGACCTGTTGTCTGCAGCCAGGCACTCAGATACTACAGAATTTGCTCCAAAGAGAAATTCTGGGATACGTACCTAAAAGACACTTAAACCTACCTTCACTATGCAACGACATCCCCCACCAAATATCCCTGAAAGAACCTGCTTCATTCTGGAAATCCCCTCAATGACCACACAACCCTAGTTGTCACTTGCTATCCCAATCTACAATGCATATGGGATATCAAATAACTGATGCTTTTAATCAATTTATACTTGCTGGGTACCACATTCTGAAAGAATTTTTCCCCAATTTTCTTCTGACTTTCAAACACTGCCTTCCCCCGCAGGCTCCCCACAGACCACGACAATTCCTCAAAGTGGCACCAGACACTACCAGAAACCATGAAAAACCTGCAGCCATATCTCCATTACTACAATGACCTCCCACCAATGCACCTTTCAAAATCCATGGGTAAAACACATTCCCATCACAACATGTGGTATATCTCAATCAGTGCACTAAATATCCCACCTGCTATGAGGGTGAAGTCAAATAATGAGCTCACAAAGAAAAATAGACCCTACAAGTCCATGGGTAAAACACTTTTCATAAAATGATCACCCATATCTGACTTCTCAATCACCATCCTCAAAGGAAATTTGCAGAACACTGTCAACAATCTGAAATTCATAACTGCTGAACACTAAAATCATATACTTAACAGGGCCACTGGTTTTATGACTAGTTACGATTTACAATGCACCTTGCTGCCTTCTAATCCTTAATAATCCACTTCATTTCAAACAGTTTCCAACAGTATGTTTGAAAAACCTTATGCTTAACAACTTGTCACACCTTGTATTTAGATCGCACACATTTCTCCAAACCTGAGAAGAGCTTTGGGAAGCTCCAAATCTTATCCCTTCATCTACAGAGGATGGTCTAATTATAAAAGATATGACCTTACCTATCTTGTCTCTCTCATATCTTAAATAGATATTTTCAATATTGTTTTCTGGAATGAATGAAACATTATGCCAATACTTTTTAAAATATAAACTGAAATGTATCAACGAATTTTCTAATTTTACAAATGAGGTATGTAAAACTATACAGGCCTTGGAGAATTTGGAGAAATAAAAAGTCTTTCATACCTGTGCAAATCCAATACTTCATTTAATACTTTGCTGTACTTTCATTTTTGCAATTGGTTCATTTTCTCCCTCCTTACAGGAAAGAACTCTCATGGAGTAACATACTTTCTCCCTCATCTTTCCAAAAGGAAACACTCACTATTTTCCCCCCCAGAACTCCCCCCAAATATATTAAAATCTAATCTACATTTTAACCTACAGCCAGAAGTCTAGAAGCCAGATCTGGACTCACCTGGGCCGCGAAGTCAAAATGAAGGACAATGTATTCAGGAGTGCTTGCAGTTTACCTATGAGCTGTAACTCTAGTGCTGCTTAAAGAGTGTTTGTAGTTAAGAACGTCCTTTCCTAAACATGTATTTCCTTGGTTTACTGTGATATGGTCCTTGAGGTCTCTGGGAGAATGTGCGTAAGCAACTATGGGTCTTGGGAAGGCTGAGGCCAAGGCAGCCAAACTGAGCAGTTCTTCCGCCCAAAACGTATGTCAGACATGAGATGTTTACATCTCAGAGCGTGCTTAAGCGACCCAGAGGGAAGAATAATAATAGAATCATAAAACTGGAAGGAACCTTGAGGTCATCAAGTTCAGTCCCCTGCACTCACTGCAGGACCAAGCACTATACACCATCCCCGACAAATGTTTGCTCTTAAAAATTTCCAGTGAACAAGATTCCACAACCTCCCTAGGCAATTTATTTCAGTGCTTAACCATCCTGACAGAAAGTTTTCCCTAATGTCCATCCTAAACCTCCCTTTCTGCAGTTTAAGCCCACTGCTTCTTGTCCTATCCTCAGAGGTTAAGGAGAATATTTTTTAACCTTCCTCCCTCTAAAAATCTTGTAGGTACTTGAAAGCTATTTTGTCCCCTTCTTAGTCTTCTCTTTTCTAGACTAAACAAACCCAAATCTTTCAATCTTCCCTTATAGGTAATGTCCCTCATTGGTTACTTTCCCAGAACCAGGGGGCTAAGAGGCATGCGGGCTTCAGCAGTTGGATCCAATCGACACAGACTGGTGTCCATTCAGTCAACAGCACTATCTACAGTTTTTTTTTTTTAGAAGTGGGCTCTGAGAATTTGGCCCATCCTGTAGAATCTAAATAAATGCCCTCCATTACTATAATGCTGACTGCCTTTGAAGAAGAAATGCAAATACTTACACATTTTGCAATTTAATAAATTTACCCGAATCTGCTATCATATCAGGAATAGTGCCGCGTACAGGTAAATTTCCTTGCCCCTCTTGCGCTACAAATTCCTTTACAGCTCGAGCTAAAATCCAAAAGGATGGCGTCTGTAAGTGTACAAACAGCAGTAATTTATTTTTCTTACATACAAAAGTATTATTTGTAATAATATTCCTACACAAATATCTTATCCTTAGTTACTGTCATTACCTGCTGTGTGAGATTGATGCAACGATCATCATTAAAAATATCTTCAATACAACTTGGAATCTGTTTTAAAAAAGAAAAAGATCACATATATTTACCCAAGTTTCTTATTCAAGAATTGTCCAACAGTAATTATGTGGGCAATTGAATATCTAAATGACGTTAGACTTTGCAGGCAAAAGTAATCATTTCTGAACCTCTATGAATGAATTTGCCAAGGAGAAAGAAATTACCTCTTTACCATCATATTGAGAAAAGTGTCAATTGTGAAAGTGTAGGCTTCTATAACCCAAACTTTACATACCAAATCTGTCCTTAGGAACATGCAATTTCAGTGGGAACTGGAGAGGATTTAAGACATGGGAACATTCGCCCCTAATGTTAGGAATTACATACATTTAGCAAGGGCATCATTTTAGAAAAAACTCTGGGGGCAGAAGGACAGAAGAAATGTGTCACTACACAAACTATTTATAGTCCCAAATAGCACCTAAATAAGAAAAATTAGGCAATTACTGCTTTCATAACAGCTGCACCCAAGACCAGGGGAAAAAGAGAAATATGACTGCCTTGTCCTCCCTCTTGCCCACCCTATAACAAATGACGCTCATGGCGTTTTGTTAATACCAATAGATTCTGGTTGTGTCCACCTCAATATGGTTAGTGAAATAGGACTTTCATTCGATCAAATATTTCTTTAGCTCAGGGCTTGGGAACCTTTTTTGGGTCAGAAGCTACTGATGCAGAAAAATCAATCAGGTGCCTCACACAAGTGAGAAGCAAACAAAAAAACCCAAATCCTCGTTGATGTAGCCCTGACTGAGAAGCAGGAGACTCCCTACCTTCCCCTTGTACACCAGAGTTTATGAGGCCCAGACAGACAAGTAGATTTTGTGTGCTCCAGCATCATGGAGGGCAAGAGCACCTTTGCAGGCTCCCCAATACTGGGAGGAGCCCCAAGCCTTGGGGGCCAGATCCAGGCAAGCTGGGGGCCACGTCCAGCCCCCGGGCCTGAGGTTCACCACCACAGCTCTAACTCTTCACAAGTCAATACAGTATGTTAACTGGGGACTAGATCAGTTCACAGTAACCTGAGACTTGCTAACAAATTCAAGTTCTACATGTCTTTAAGAAAAGCTGAACACATCAAGCACATAATATCCTGCAACAATGTTTTCCAAAACATATACAGTTTGTTAAAAGAAATCCATAACTCTTTAAAAACATTCTGTGAATCTTTTGATTTAGATTAACAAAGAATCAGGAAGTTCAATGCAAATGAATAATTTAAAAATAATAAGACAGTTGTAAAATGTGGTTAATTCTGTTTTAATTTTTAGATACTCGTGAAAGTACTGCATGTTCACGATACTATGGCAACATTTTCAACACTGATTTTAGAAGCAAGCAGAACACAATCTGACTTCACTAATATTTTTAATGAATTTAACATCTCAGCCAGGACAATGAGGACTTTAACATTAGTTATGCATCAGGGGTTAGGAGAAGAAATGCATCTTTCTCTGATATAAATACCCTGTTTTCATAAATAGTAATGTGATTATGTCCAAAATTAAGTCTTGCTTCTCTTAACAGATCAGGATCATTTTATTTAAAAAAAACAACTAGTTAATTCAGTATTTATGACAGTGAAGAAAAAATAGTTTAACGAGTGCCTCCAATCAGGCAGTGCATGGACAGGTGTTTTGTATGTTTTCTAATACAAATCTGCCATTATTATTACAGCCCAGTTTGTACTACCCTTTTGAGCACATACTACTAGTCCTGCCAAGTTGTTCTAAAATGTTTGTTAGGTTTACGTTTTAGAGAAAAAGAAAGAGGAGTTTATCAAACTAACTTTGATAATATATCTATAGTGAAGTCCGGATTAACCGACACCCAGTAATCCGACACTCCGCTTTATCCAACTCTGCTGCTCCTGGGGACTTTGTCCCCGGGAGCTTCAGGGTCGGATACAGCATGGGCTGGGAGAACGGCCCCGCTTGCTGCCCCGTCGCTCTCTAGGAAAAGCTGCTGCTGCTCCTGCCGGGGATGAA